TTTTGTAGTGTCCTGAAGATGCAATAATATATTGCGAAACGTCGACAATCTGAAATAACAGACTTCTGTTGTTTTATTTCGATCCAATCCCAAATAAAACCTCAACCAATTACAATTAAGGGATCGACAACAAACTAACCAAGGAGGAAATAATTTTTTAAAATTTACATGACTTTGAGATAGTAGGAGGCCAAAGTTATTGGTCTGTTCTGTAACCTTCCAGACTCGCTTCCAGAGTATCAGGGTTTTTTCCAGGTTTGCTTATGGGTATTACTAGATATTCTGTCCATGCCTGCGAGAGTTCTCGTCGATTCCTGAAGCCGAGTCTTTTTCATGTGAATTTATGTACTTTGGTTATTTGTTGGGTCTCAAATTGTGGGTCTATATCTGTGACTGCCATGTTTCTAAGAATTTGTAATCTTAAAGGATTGCTGGGTGTTTTAATTTTTTTGTTTGAATATATTCCAGAGAAGTTATTTATTTTATTCCATATTTCCTTAATATCAGAGTTTCTGTTTAGAGTGGAGGACTACTTCATGAATTTTTTCTTTTTCTTCTCTTTGAAAAATCTTCTGCCTTTTGCTATGGTATGTTTAAGGTTGAGGCAATTTGGAGGGGGGGGGGGGGTGATTATTGTATTGGTTGAAAGCAGTTTTCCCCTCTTCAATTTTGGGGCTACATCCTTTATCCCACCAAGGGTTTCTCATTCTGCTTCTGTGGTTTTCTGGTGTTCTAGGGATATGTTTATTAGCCACTTGTATTATATCGTTCAGTGTGTTAAAGTTTGTGTTTTGATTCAAATTTCTTTGGCTTTTCTGATGCACAGTTAAGGTTTATGAAATATAGGGTGATTTCCAAGAAACGCCTAAAAATTTTTCGTCAATTATTTCGAAAACTATTTGAATTTTGAGACACAATTCAAATTTGAAAGTTTTTTTAATTTTATTCGCTCTACAACATGGCTTCTTGACATTTCAAATCCGACGTTTCATGATCGAGCTACCATCATCAACTTCATTTTTTCGAATAAGGACCTGGATTTTTTATATCATTTTTAGAAAGCGCCCTATTGCTTTTTGTCTCAGGTCGACATTCGATAGAAACATAATGGACGTTGGCGAGTTGTAGATCGCATCTAAATGATAAAACATTTGTTTTAGATAAATTTAGCACCAGAAGATTAGAATCACGCCAAGATTTGAGCTGTGCTCGTTTTAGACTCTGATGGTCAGCACAGTGCCATAGAATTGTGTTTTCATCTAGAAACAAAGTAAATTTCCCGGTAATAGGTATTTAGTGACGCAAAGTCATTTATGAAAATTAGAAATATGAGTGGACTCTGAGGTAAAGTCCGTTGATTTTAATCTGATACTCCAAAAAAATGTGAGCTGGTGGATCGATACGTTAGAACGCCAATGGTCACCTGACGTCACACCTGTTTTTGCCATATACTTCACCCCCTTGCGCCTCATACGGAAAGTGTCAGATTAAAATCGACGGACAATACACCCCAATTATTTTCCAACACCACTGATTGAGGTGCTCCAATGTAAACCATCTGAGGACGATCAGACAAATAGGATTAAAACCATGTCTGTCACTCCTCTAAAGTCATAGTGAAAGAGCTTATGCACCAGGATGTGGTGATTGACGCAATCAAATGCTCTTGATAAATCGCAGAAAACTGCTGCAGTTACTCCACCATTATTAATGCCGGAATAAAGACCTTTCAAAAATTGAAAAATCGCATGTCTGTATTGCAATGTTCCCGAACCAAATTGAGAACTCAGAACACTACTCCTCTTGGCCACAATAAATAATATAATGAAAAGTGTGGAAATGGCTAGAGCGAGGGCTAGAGCTTTACTTTTAGCAGATGATTTCAAGTGTTTTCTTCAAATAGACTCTACTGATGACTGCAAAACTCTCCAAAATGATTTATGTAACGTGGCCTCTTGGTGCAATACTACAAATGATTTTAAATTAAATATTGCTAAATGTTCTTATATGTCTTTCCGCCTTAAGCATGATTTGATTCACTATGACTATACACTTAATGGTTCGCCGCTTCATAGAATCAAAAATCAAACCTGGGTGTCATTTTTGATACGTCATTATCCGAGTCATTATCCTTCTCTAAGCACATTACATTCAAGATAGACAGTTCGCAGAAAATATCTGATTTCATAACAATAAACATCAAAAATTTGAATATTGATGTAAGTTTGCACCGAGGTTTGCACCTTTTTGATACCCTTGTTTTGCCAATTTTGGAGTATGGATGCATTATCTGGTCACCGCAATATGACTCATGGACAACATAAATGTCGAAAGGGCGCAAAGGAAATTTCTGAAGTTCATTTATAATCGGGCCTATGGAGTCTATCCTCCTCAGGGTGATGGTGATACCTCCTTGGTATCTTTGGTAGACTATCTCTGAATAAGCGAAGAACGGACACATCTCTACAAAAATTCGCTGATTTACAAAATGTGTAATACATTCAATTTGTATGCTTCCAATATCAACATTGATAATGTTGATTTAAAAATGTTTAAAAAACTAGTTGATAGGAAATTGTTTAATGTAGTTTACATCAATTCTTTTGTGTCACTGTTAAAGTTATCAGAGATAAAAGTTATCAAAACAAAATGTGTCTATAGGGTTAACAGATTGAAATACAAAAAAATTTTCTACGAGCGTGCGGGAAATGGCTCTTCCCGCACTCAGTGCGGGAAGAATTTTAAATAATCATTGTAACATGGAACTGTTTGTATTGTTGATACACGTATACCTTTACCTTTAATACCTTTACCTTTTTTTTATAAATACCTTTCAATACATTTTTAATTCTACCTTCTGCAAAATCGCATTTTATTTAAATTAAACTTCTCGTAACATCAGCTTTAGTATGCTCGTAGAAAAAAATATAGTTCCTAGCTATTCCCAACCGTCAAAAAAAGTTGACATTTTTAGACTATTTTCAGGTGCCAAAGCTAACAATTCTCGTACCGGTCAAAAATATGTTCGTTGCTCTCTACTTTTAATCCGAAGGATAGAAAGTAACCACCAGGCGGAATAAAATTAACCACCAGTAAATTACTTTCATTCCGCTGGAATTAATTCAATTAAAAAATAAGTGACTTAGGTATTTTCAATTTTTTTTCAAAAGAATCTCGTGAAATCCGGACATTTACTGTCCCGACGTATAGTCCATCGGAACACGGGACGAAATTTCCAATATCGGGACTGTCCCGTTGAAATCGGGACGTCTGGCAACCCTATGTGTCTAGTATCTAGGTCTAGGTGTTGTGAATGTGTTTATATTTTTATGTTATATTTTTTAATTAAGCTGGTATCTGTTATTGGCAAACTGCTGCTGTTGATACTGTATTGAATAAATAAATAAATTATTTGTATCCAAAAATGAGATCACTCTATTTTTAACCAGCTGTTCTACAATTTTGGATAGATTAGAAAGTAATGATATGGGCTTATAATCACAGGGATCTTCCAAATCTCTACTCTTGTGAAATGGAATTACTTTTGCCAGCTTAAGGCATGAAGAAAAGACAACTCCCAAATTGATTGCCTGAACCAAAATATCCATAACTTTGTCAGACAAATTTGCAAATAATTTTATAGACAGACTATTATCCCCAGAGCTTTTTTTATTTTTGATACCTGATATGATGTGTTTTAACTCTTTCAGGGTAAGTAAGTAGTAGAAAAAAAGTAAAAGGAATTATTGAACCCTGCATTATTTGAGAGAAAACTAAGTGGATCCAGTGTGTTGAATAATATTTTTGGTCAGGTTTTCTGCCATATACAACAAAATTTGTTGACTGAGTCAGGAGACAGCAGGTCGCTATTGCTTGGGGAAAAATGGCTTTTCTCGCGAATATCATTTATAATCCATCAACTTTTCCTTTGTTGGATGCATTTGCAAGACAATTGGAGAAATGTATATCTTTGGCTAACTTTAGAGGTTTTCTGAAGATTGACCGGCAGTTGTTGAAATAGGTGTATCAGTGGGGATTATCTGTGAATTTTCTAATATACTGAAGATTTTTAGAGGTAACTTTAAGTCCTCTGGTAAACCAGGATTTCTATTTGTTAATTTTCCTAGCATGAAATTTTGCAAAATTTATTGTGGAACTCCCCAATGGGGTTTTATTACAAGAAACATAGACATTAGTTTATCTCTTTTACACAGTCTTGTTGTACCCATCTTAGAATATGGCAGTGTAGTATGCTCAATACCATAATTGGGCTGAAATTATAAAAAGTGTGCAGCGAAATATTTTAAAGAGTACCTATGGACTAGAGAAAGTTTAGAGTGTATTCCTTAGTGTGACTGTAGAAGGTACCTAATGACTATTTGTTGAATGTTCTTGATAGCTTCTACTAAAGAAAACAAGAATAAAAATATTTTTATGCATACCTAATGTATGGGGTGTCGACCCTTTTGTTGACCAATAATACTGAATGCTCAGGTATCTTGGAACAAGCTATCTTTTGCTGTTCACCAAATAAATTTGGGGAGCAGCAATATTTTTTATTTGGACTACCCTATCTCCGATCGATAACTTGTGTGATCTATTCAACCTGTATGCTTCAGATGTAGATATAGATACTAGTAGCCAGCCTTAAAAGGTTTTGTTCGAGGTTTTGTTGTATGTTATTGTACTATAGTCAGTATCCGTGATTGGCTCTGCTGTTGATAGTTTGATTTGAATGAATAAATAAATTACTAGAATACACATAATACAAAGAAGAATTATACCTGTGGAGAGAGATAGATTGAGTAACAATAAAGAATGAGAAGAGTTTAGGAGCTAAGAAATTGCATGCTTGCTTGAGGTGTAATGGTGTAAACATGCTCTTATCAACTAACCACCCAACCTCAGTCCCTAAAGCTAAATTCTATTTATAAAAATATAGTCTATGAATATTTATAGGGAAATTAGATCAATTAGAAAAGTATAGCATTTTTGCTTACCACCTAAAATTAAAACTCGAATCTTTGCCATTTGTTTAGTTGAAAACCGCCTGATATTTCTTTATATCCTATAAATAATGGAGAAGCCGGTATGAATCACAGGATATTACGAACAATAAACTCCAAGTACTGCTTTAACAATCACAAGCTGATAAGTTATTAGTCTGATAAGTAAGTACTACTAGTGCTTCCAGTTCCAAAGATATAATAATTAAATAAATAAGAAAAAAAAACATAATTTTAAATTTAAATTAAAGAGAAAGTTTATTTTGTCTAGGACGCCTATGGGTTTAATGAATGTGAAGTTAGAAGAAGAGCATTTGTTATACCAAGGTCATATGGGACGAAACGTTGCTACGTGTTTAATGTCCTGAAAAAGTGTTGCTATATAGAGAGAGATCTATCGATACAATATTCTTCAAATCCTCTACTAATTCATATCGATATTATTGGGAGAAAATATCGATATTTTTATGACAGACTTCCCCAACCTATATTTGAAAGTAGAGTAGGAGTCCCTTGCTTATTCAATCAAGTCCAGTGCGGTTAGCAGTACTGCACTGCTCCTAATAGTTGTATTCCTTTCACACTTAAGGTGGGTTCGGGATGACTGTTCTATAAACTCCAACTGCAATAAACACTCCCGATGCGTTCGGGTATTGTCATTTTGAGCTAAAAGAGTAACTCCACATGCGTTCGGGAAGGACGTGCGGGAGTCAAAAGAGCTGACTCTGAAAGCACCACCTCGTCATCAGCAAGCGCCGGAGCGGGCATGCGCACTGCGTGCGTTTTCGTGATTTTGTGTCATTTATCCTATTTTTTTGATTGCGACAATCGACTAATCGACAGTCAACAAATCAATATTTAATCTGTAATTACCTGGTAAATGAATGGAATGGATTTTAAACTGCGTATTTGACATGCAAGCAACGCGTAATTTCACTGAAATTTCCAATGATAATCTTGATGACTTCTTAAGACAAGTCGCCGAAATAAACGTCTTCAACAAAATCAAATATAGGCACCAAATACCAAAAATTCATAGAAAAGACTCGAAAAACGTTTGTTGTTTTTAAAATAATACTTGTCATTTGTGGGATAGGTTAAGTTAAGAAACTCCAAATGCACCTTGGCCGTTCGGTTTTGGTTTTACTAATACACTCCAAAAGCTTTTTGGTCACGTGATAAAAACGCCACTCCAACTCTACTCGAGCTCCGCTTGGCCATCCCGAACCCAGCTTTAGGAGATTAGGAGGAGCTCCGGAACAGCTCCGGGGCGTTACGCGCTTATTCCTTTCGAAAAGTGTTTGTTGCACCACGCATCTGTTCCTTGCAATTCGGGGCGACTAACACCAGAGCGAGTAGCTCGAGGGTTTCAAACTCTTGAAAGGAATACAAATAATGTTCGTTCTTTTCATAATAGATTCATTTTTCAAGTGAAACTTGTTCTGAACGCGCACTTAGAGTAAAATTTCAAGGCCGTGACATTCGAGCAGTTCGAACCGACACTTTGGAACGAGTGTTAAATGATTGTTGCACTGGTTCGCAATATTGTTCCCTATCGATATATATCGATACGATATAAATGCATATCGATGTTTAAATCGTATCGATACGATAAGTCCTCTTCCAAGAGTTCAGTAGTTCCCCTTTGAACCTGAACCTGAAAAAAACCCAAATAAATACAAGTAACAATAATAATAAAACTTTGGGTTTTGGGTAATTTACAGAGAAAATAAAATTAAATTAGTTAACATGACGAAATTATCAGAAGAAAAACAATTGGAAAGTGTGGAAAGTTCTCGAGAAGCATGTAAAGTATTTGCGAAAAGAATGTTAAAAACCCAATTATTTATCGGCAACTTCATGGAAAAACGGTATGTAGATCCACTAAAAGCTTATAGAGACGTAGTAAAAATAGACTCGAGTGAAAAAAACTTTATCCAAAACATATTAGCAGTCAAGAAAAAAGTGAACAAACAACTTGGAAATAATTCGTTTTGGCTGGGAATCACTGAGCCGAACACAGTTGGAGCCCCAGTTGGGTACAACTTATGGGTTACCCTTCCAATAGAAGTCTTTGGAACTTATTGGTTTAAAGTGAGAACTGTAGAATTTCTATATAACGAAATAAGACTGAAATTAGATGTTGTACGAACGGTTGGAGATAATCCAACTTGCAGTGCTTCAGATGTTGAGGACAGCAGAGATTTCGATTTGGTGACCACCGTCCAAGATTTATCAAACAATTTCAAATCTGGTTTATTTGATTTTCTCAAAACCAACATAACTTTAAGCAATGTCAAAGAAACTGTGATATTTTTAACTATATTGACTGGCACAATAATTGCAGGAGGCATAAACCTAGTCAAATACCTTATGGATTATTTATTGAAATTTATGAGAGAGGCTTCTAGCTTCATAAAAGTTTGCACCCCAATTATAATTTCCACTATGGACTTATTAAGGAAGATGTTGCACATGTTATTAGCTTTTATAATAACTTTAGTGCATGGAAAACCAAAACCACAGCAGCAGCTTCAATATCAGCCTTATGCAGACCCGAATTTTATTTATGGTAATAGAAGAGCAATTGGTTATAAGAGACCAAGGTCTTCAGTCACTATAACACCATTAGATTGATGAATAGAAATTTAATTTCATATTGCATAGAATTTATATAGATCTTATAGTTAACTAAAGTTTTATTATGCATTTTTATACTCATATACCTAAGCTTATCTTTTCATGACATCTTTTGGACAGATCTTATAGTTTGGGGACAATCAGTTTTTCCTCGAGTTTTTCATTAATATAGTATTTAACCATTATTATTGAGATTATTATGTTTATTTTATTTGTTCAATTACATATATAGTTCCTCTTATATGTATGAGATTGATTTGTAAATAAACTAGATGTAGTGAATTGTGTTTTTTATTCATTCTTTCACAGGTATTATACCTGAACACATTAAAGATGGATTATTCCCAACTGATTCCCAATAAGGTTTTTTGAGAGAGGTAGGTTGCCGGATAACTTTAAACTTTATGACGTCATCTGGGGTGTCCCATCATAATGCAAATCTCCATAGGGCACCCCAGATGCATGATCAAGTTACCCATTACCAGGCAACCTATTAACTTTAGGAACCTTGGATTATTCCTACGTAGACTGTTTCATGATGCAGTCTTTGAAGTTTTCACTTCACACATACAGAATTGATTGACGACTATGCCATAGTCCCACTCCCATTAGTAGATAAGTGAGACTACTCTTCCGATATTAATTTACCATTATTTAAAGTAGGTAATAGATAGACCACTTTCACATTTCTCCAAAATATATTCAAGTTATTGTGTCGTTCTAATAACATCTTCTAGGTATATACTTTTTTCCAAAATTTGAATCAAATTTTGAAACTGCTGCGGAAACGCGGGATGCGGGATAGGACTGTGACGTCAAACAAAATCTCAAAAATGCGAGGATGCCGATTTTCTAATTAGAGTAAGTTAATCATTCCAAAACATCATTGCTTCTAAAGTATTTATTTAAATTTATTGTATACTACGAAGCGGAAAATTTGTACATGTTTTAATTCAATTTTATCCGTTGTTCGACGTGAATCGATATGTCTATCAGTGGCGGCTCGTCGTATAAAGCAACTGAGGCCGGGCCTCACATGTAAAAATTATAATATTGATGTTAAATTTTGAAATAATATTTATTAAATGTTCAACGTTTTTCAACTATTTTCAACCATTAAAAGTATCAAAATATTGAATTTTCAACAAAGTTAAATACTATCTCTTGAATTTAGCGCGCAATTCTGCCTATTTATCCTTATTAAGGCGCTCAAATCGTTGGCGGACAGCATAGAAATGAAAAAGCAATCCCAAAAATTTTGGCCTCATGTGCGTCACAGAACGCCGATGCGATGCCATGCCACTCCCCACCACAACTCTTCAACTGTAGGCGAGACGATAGCGAAATTTTGTACTTATTGAGGCGCACAATTTTGGGCTTACTAAAGAAAAAACCTTGCATCTCTTGATGTTGCGACAAGTAGCAAATGCCAGTGCGTGATTTAATTGGCGCGTAGGTACCTTTTGTTTTTGTCTGTTGGGGGTTAAAATACTGTTAATAATGATTTATATTGTTGTGTTGCTAGATGGAGGTGCCAGTTTTAATTAAATTATAATATTTTAGGAGTGTAAAATGAATCCCTCTCACGATATTGTTTTGTCTTTGCTAGAAACTTCCTTCTCTCAACGACCTGAAATAAGCACCTGAAAGTGTGTTTTTTTGGGCGTGACACTCAAAAATTTTGTTTGGGTTAGCTGGGGAGTTTTCGCGCGTCTTGCGCGGCACCTGCGGTGGGCTTTGGTTTGGGCCTCACCAGTTTGGATTGTCACGAGCCGCCACTGATGTCTATATTGAATTGAATTGAATTGAAAATGTCTTTATTTAGGTGTACACAAAGTTTCATTACAAGAGAATATAGTAATACCAGGTGGCGATATTCGCTTAGTAGCGCTCTTCCATATAACCACCTTGAGCATCTAATAATATAATATAAATAATAACAACAACCATGCTAAGTGACAACAAGCAAAACTAAATTATATAGGTAACCAAGTAAATATATAGATAATTTTACTAACCATTACAAGAAAAAAAATTAATTTGTTGTACGGAAACTAAAAATAAATAAAATAAGGAAACAAAAGAAAAATAAAACAAAAAATTAAACAAAAAAAAAAATAAAAAGTAAAAAATAAAAGACCAAAAAATAAGAGTCAGAAGGACACCTACACACTTATTTGAATATTTTTAAATGGAAACTCTAAGCTGATTATTTGAAACAAGTCTTTTTATCTCCCTTTTAAACGACAAATCACTAACTAAAGATTTAATACGTTCAGGGAGTTTATTGTAAAGTTTCACAGCTGTAAAACTAAATGATTTTCTAAAGAGTGCTGTTTGATGATTTGGCACACAATAGAGACTGCGATGCCTAGTACTTCTAAAATGAACATCACTGCATCGAGTGAGCTTGGAAGAAAGGTAAGTTGGTTTTTTGCGTTTGTTTAATCTAAACATGAATGTTGCCAGAGAGACAATGTAGCGCTGATTCAGCTTCAGCCACTTAGCGTCAGCGAAACTTGACGAAACATGGTCAAACTTCCTAAGGTTGTAAGCAAATCGAATGCAAGCATTTTGGAGTCTTTGGAGGCTCTCCTTGTCCTTGTTCAAAATGACGGGCCAATAAAGAATGTTACAATAGGATATCAAAGAAAGAATTAAATTATCACACAGCTTCAATTTAACATCCTTACTTAAAACCTTTTGATACAATCGAAGTGCTTTGAGTTTACTATATGATTTTTGCATTAGATAGCTAATATGCTTGTTAAAATTAAGTTTGGCATCCATCCATACCCCCAAGTTTTTAGCAAAATCAGAGGATTCCAGAGTCTGACCATTTAACACGATTGTAAATCTCTCATCCCGGACCACCCCAAGGCGCTTTGGGCCAAAGACCATAAGTTCCGTTTTGGTTTCATTAAGCGTCAAACCATGGGCAGATGAAGCTGTGGATATAATATTTAGATCCTCATTGATTTTCTGCACCGCATCTGGAATATCTTCAAGTGAGAAAGTAAAATACAGTTGATTATCGTCAGCGTACTGATGTGACTCGCAGTTTTTAAGCATTTTTGGGAAATCGGCTGTATACGCTGCATATAAAATAGGGCCCAGAATGCTTCCTTGTGGAACTCCTTTATCACAAGCACGAGATTCCGAAAAATTGTTATTCCAGATAGTTCGCTGCGATCTAAAACTTAAAAATTCCTTAAAGAACCTGAGTTCCACATTCTCAATTCCAAAAAATTCAAACTTGGTGCAAAGTACCCCATGGTCTAACGTATCAAACGCCTTGCTGTAATCCAGGAGGAGAAGGCATGTATTAAGCCTCTTGTCCGTGGCTCGAATAATATCATCCGTCACCTTCAGCAGGGCAGTGGTCGTGCTGTGTGCCTGTCGAAAACCAGACTGAGATAAGGGCAAAATGTTTTGCTCTTCCAAATAAATTGTCAACTGTCGGGCCACAATTTTTTCAACCACTTTAGAGAGAGTAGGTAAGATACTGATTGGTCGAAAGTCCGCCGCTGAGGATGGTGAAGGTTTTTTTGGGACAGGTGTTACATTTGCGCTTTTCCAAACAGAAGGAAAACAGCCATTCTTGAGACAAAAATTAACTATAAATGTAACGTGCTTAGACAGAGCGGGTAACAGTAGTAACAACATTTTAATTCCGATTCCGTCAACCCCTCGCGCACCCGTTTTGATTGACCTCAATATATTTACGACCTCTTCGGAGGACGCCAAACTAAACTTAAAATTTTCGGTAAGTCCCGGAAAACGCTTATTGACATAATTGTTATGTATAAAATCTTCATCAATATTGTTTGTAGGTGCCGAGGTAAAAACTGTATTAAGCTCGTCTGAAGAGATTTCTAAATTGTTACAGCTCACCACATTATTGTTTACGTTCAGCCATTTGACGAATTTCCAAAACTCCTTCGGGTTATGTTTAAACTTATAGTCAAAAAATGCTTTTTTCTCTCGTCTAATTGAGTTATTCACAAAATTGCGCATATCACGATATTCATTTAGTGCTAAATCTGTTCTATTATGTTTGTACCTTAGTTTGGCTCTATCCCGTAATCTCATCATTAGTCTAATGTTATCGGTCAACCAGGGCGCTGGAGGTTTTTTAATTCTGACAGTTCTAATAGGGGCGTGCATATCAAATAGATTGGTTACCTTGACATTAAAACAATTTATAATTTGATCTATGTGAGTCAAGACAAACAAATGATCCCAATTAACTGCCAGTAGATCTTCATGAAATAGGTCGAAGTTGAACCGCGAAAAATCTCTATAAGTTCTGAACATAGTTGGGTGTTTTTCTCTGTAAAATTTTAACTTACAGGAGACAAAATGATGGTCTGAAATGTCGTCCATTGTGAGCACTTCCACTTCCCTGCACAAGGTGGTATCGGAGATAACCAAAACATCCAGCAAAGTGCTAGAATTTTCCTTGACCCTGGTAGGCTCTGTCACAATCTGCTCAAGACCAAAGCGATTTACAAATTCAGTGAATTGTGTAGCTGTATTATTATTCGCCAACAGGTCAACGTTACAATCTCCACCAAAAGCTAAAAAATCATGCTGTGGTATCAAAAAGCTCAAAACATTTTCTAGTGCACTGAGAAATGTCAAAAAATTTATATTAGGAGCACGATAGACGCTACCCAAACATACCTTTCTTCCATTAAGTTTAGCGGTAACCCAGACTTGCTCAATAGCTGCACTATTTTCACAGTTAGAGATATTAATTTTTTGTATTTTAATGTGGCTCTTATAGTAAAAGGCAACACCTCCACCCCGGGTTGGCCGATCAATACGCAATATTTTATAACCATTAATATTTACAACGCAATCCGGGATGTCGGAAGACAGCCATGTCTCAGATATTCCCACAATGTCATACTCATTTTGAGATAAAAATTCGGAAAAAATATCAAAGTTCGACAACAAAGATCTAGCATTAAAGTGTGCAAAAGTCACTAACTGACTTCTCATTTTATCCTATATTATATTAGTAAAAATAAAAAAATAAATAGTTACCACAAGAAATAAAAAAAATAAAATAAAAATAGGATGAAATAGAAAAAAATATAAATAAAATAAATTGAGCTGGTTCCAGTCACTCGAATACCGAGCAGTAGTAGGCCCATAACACACAGCTCCCAACCCATGAGTATTAAGTAAGAACCGAACCAAAAAAAAATAAAAATAAATTATAGCAATACCTAGTGAATGAAGTAAAATTTCTACAAACTATATAATATACAACATGTTCCGATCCGCAAGTAATTAGCATATAAAAGGTAAATACACATTTGTATATTTAAATAGAAGAAAAAGCCAAATGGTATTGTAGGTACTTGATTAGTTTATCAAAGGTAATAATTAGTTAGTTAGAAAAGTCAAATATCCTTTTGTAGTAAATAAATTGATAAAATAATGGTAGTTTTTAATTTCATATTTAATTAATTAAACTTAAATTAAATTAAAGAGATTGAGGTAAAACCTAATAATAACATCAACAATAAAAATTAAAAAAAAAAATATATATATATAGGTATAAATAATACTAATAAAAGGAGAGGAAAAAAAAAAAACAGTACCTGAACATTCTTGTGTTCCAACAATTTACTGAAATTTAAAGCACTACTTTTTCCTTCTCTTAGGAGAATTAGGACGTCTTAGCAGCGTGCCAATTATTGCAGGATCGGTAAGCAAGAATTCAAGCAGGAACAAAGGTAGCAGATATGTAAGGCTTGACCGGGTCGACGGAGCAGCCAGGTCGTGGCAGTAAATTTATTAACAATCTGCTCAAAATTGGATGTTGATTTTTTTACCATTGTCAATTGCATAAATTTTTCCAGATAGTGTCCATACTGACTTGTTCCCATATTTTTTCTTGGCATTCTGCAATAGGTCAAAGCGAGATTTTGTAAGGTCTTCAAAGATAGAGAACGCCGTGCCTTTGAGTTTGGATTTCGATGCATAAACTTGGCTGCGCAGATCGTTTCGAAGAAAGTTTACAATGATTGGTCGATTTTGACCCTCTGAAGATTGGCCAATTCTATATGCACTGTCAATGTCTCTGAGAGTGCAATCGATTTTCAGAGTAGTCGAAATAAACTCCGAGATAGCCTTGGACAACTTTTCATTATTTCTTTCGGGGAACCCATTGAATCGCAAAGCATTACGTTTTATATACTGCTGTAGGGCTTCGACCGTAGTTTCCACAGTGGAGACCCTTTTCTGGCAATCTTCGGCTGAGCGAATTACCGAGTTGATACTTTCATCAAGTTGAGCGACTTTTTCATTAATTTTGTCTATTTTAACAGACAAACGCTCTTCTAGGTCCTTCAACAATTTGGCACAGACTTTCTCCATCGATTGCTCTACTTCGGATATTGTAGCACCACTACGCGTAGGGGGAGCCATTATTCAGCAGCGGCAGATACCTAGCAGCAGTATCAACTTCAACAATTTTGCTGACCGAAGTATAATTATGCGAAAACAGTAATCGACGTCGAGATTTCCGTAAAAATTACGTTTGTTGACCGTTGACTCCCAATTTACAGTCCGGCAACGCCGAGCACACGCCGATCGAAGCAAGTCCCAAGTCCCAATTAAATCCCAGCTAAATCCCAACCTCACTTTAAGTAAAATTGACTTTAAAAACAAAGATGCGGTCGAAAAACAATTGTCTCACCCCAGATTTTCGTACAGTGGTGTTGATTTATCGTTCTTCTGTTAATTTAAAACTTCGGATCACTCACTTCTTAATTAAATACACTTAATTTTTGCAAAAATTGAGAGCTGTAGAAAGGCAAACACTACTCGTACATAGACATAGAATTCTATAATAATTCTATATATTTCTCTAGCTCATGTGGATTCTTCGAGCCAGAACCCGATAAGAACAGGAGGTGTTTTCTCGTGTCTCAGATGTTTTAAAACCTTTGTCAAAACTGGTTTAAAACAGTCTTACAACGTCATAACTTATTCTTGGCGCGAGAAAATGGTTTAAAAATGTGGATTGGATTGTAGTTATTTCGAAACGATTTGAACCAATTTTTCATGTGACGTCACGGGTTCATCGCGAGAATATACTGTTTCAACCCTGTTTTGAACCGGTTTCAAAAAAATGAACGCGAAAAACAGCTCTGTTATCTGTTGTGTTTGACTATTTATAGGCCATTTTCACGTGCAAGGAAGGATATTGCAACATATCAAGGATCGTAAACTAACAGGGTTGCTCATCCTAACTACGTTCGCCAATTTTCGAGTCGGCGGGTGGTCTGCAAGTGATTTCACCACGATCATCAACTGATGCTGGTGGCGTCACCTACATACCTCGATGGATTGCTTGCGTTTCAGGCTGCGCTTCTGAGTTAATTTTTTCGTCGGTTTTAAGGTGATTTTACCGTTTACGAATTTCTTGTTTTAACCTGTTTAATCTCGGATAATGCAATCAAGGAGTGCTTATCGACCTCGTTTTCAAAACAAAAAAAATACCCGGTGGATCGTGTTGCCTATCTACAAACTCTACAGTATCTACCCAATACATATATTTGCGACCAACATTACAGTGAGAAAACGGAGAGATCCGTGACATGGTGACATTTTCCTGCCCTTATTAGCGCTATCTCACTCAGGGTTAGAGTGAGAGATATGGGAGATCCAATAGATTTTTTGCCCTTACTAGCGCTATCTCATTCTGGAATCAATTGAATCACCAAAACCTATTCCAAACCTTCTTTCTACTTCATTGATTCGGTGCCTCCACGCATAAAACGTCAAATTATCAACGCAATGTCAAAAAAATGCGAATTTCGCAGTTATGAGTACTAGGCTTTATAAGGGAGGATTTTCATGCATCCGTTTTTCCGTCGAAATATGTCCGAAAAGTCTTCTATTTTGACATATTTATATACGATTATGTCAGAATAGAATGTTAAACGGACATATTTCGTCGGAAAAACGGATGCATGAAAATCCTCCCTAAAGGTTAGTACTCATAACTGCGAAATTCGCATTTTTTTGACATTGCGTTGACAATTTGACGTTTTATGCATGTATCAAACTTCAAATTGTCGAAGCAATGTCAAAAAAATGCGAATTTCGAAGTTATGAGTACTAGCACAGCCTCCTACACTTAACAAGCCATGATGTTAAAAAGGCAACACCGCAATCTTACCGCCAAGTGGTGCTGGTGCTGTTTGTTTTTATAAGTATATATTTTTTATTTTGTTAATAATAATCACAAAAAATGCATCATTTATTATACTAAAGGGTCAAAAACAGTAATTCAATGAATAATATAACTATATGTGTAAATAAGAACAGTAAATAATTGATTTAAATGAATATATTTCTAGATTCTAAAGTGTTATAAGCCTATGTTTCAGTATGTCTTTTGAAAATCTAACTTTTTCTTTCTTCGGGATTTTTTCAGAAGGCAGGTTTATTCAAATACTTGAGCTGATTTCCGAAAATAAGAGGTACTTTTAAGAGTTGGACATTTTAGTTTGAACTCTCGAATTACTCCTTTATTCTTGTTTTGTTTTTGCTCTCTGTTTTTGTTTGTTTCAAATCTAATTATTTCGGTTTCTTCAAAATGTTCACAACACACCACAGAATTTTTCGTTATGGTATAATCTCGCCAATCTCGGGTACAATTATCTTGGTGTATTGCTTTCATCCACAACTTCTGCATTTCAGAATTTTTTTGGAAATAAATGTTTGCATTTCTTCAGGTTTTAAGGAACTCCTAGTTCGATTTGCACCCAGGAACACAGTAGTTTCATGGCATCTGGAAAAAAGTTTAAATATCTTGTAATATATCGAGGCCTATGCTCTTGCACAATATCAATATTGTTTTAACCTTACATTACCTTCATTTTTGCTGCTGTACCCATTTCCCATTTGCTGAAAATTTGCAATCAAAGCACAAAGGAACAGATATCAACTAAATATGGGCAATATATCGGTGTGTTTCTATCCATTTTTTCGTCAATAATGCCCACAAAAATACTAAACTGCAACAATATACAATGAACGCAATACACAGAAACAATAACCTCGATAACAAAATAGCACCATACGCGACGTTGCCGTCATTTCCAACTTCATGGCTTGTAAGTGTAGGGGGCTGTGATACTAGGCTTAAGTCGGAATCATCTTATTCCGACTTATAAGTCGGAATTCTGACTTATAAGTCGGAATTTAATACGGGAAAAAAAAATCAAAAAGTGTCCCTTCTACGCTTTCGTAGGAACGGCTTATGGAGTAACTATAAACCGGTATCGCACCGGTTCAGAAACCGGTGAATTTTGGAAAATGCCTCTTCCATGCAGGCTTTTGACAGTGACAGATTTTTGACTGCTTTGACTGACATCTGTTTGACATTCCGATCGTCTTCCCTTGCTGTGTTTTTTAAACGCGTTTTGAACAACCTTTTGTTTATAAATCCATATTTGTCCATATTTTTCCATTCTAGAACCCAACACCAGCTAAAATTGCCAGTAAATTGAAGTATTATGTTTTGTATTTATCATTATCAATTCTGTCAGCTTTAAACCGTGGAAATCGTACTTATTTGTCCACAAAAGAAAAGAAAAACGTGAGAGATATAGTGCTCAAGGTCGCAAGTACCTAACTACACAGGAAGAATTCGCTAAAAATAGTGTTTTCTTGTCGATTCGAATAAGTGAAAAAGCGAGCAGAGGCTGTGATATAAGTATTTTATGGTATTCAATTTAAATAATCAATCGGTCATGTCCAACAAATTCGACACGTAAGTATAATGGAACTATCTACTACTATCTCATGTTTGTTGTTTATATTTGTTTGGCCTACTTTCCATAGTTATTATTTTTTTTTAAATCTTTTTTTACCATGTGATAGGTGTTCACTATATTATTGCACTTCTAAGTTGATAAGCTGGTAATCTATTAATAATACAATCTAATCCTTGTTATTTGTTAACTTGTTTAAATAATAACGTGAAGTTGTTTCATTCTAGAAATTGCAATCTACTGAATATTCTAAATGAAAATCCGAGTCCAGATTTAGTTACAAATCTGTAGAAATATCGTTATATTCCAACGTTGAAAAATATGTCTATCTTCACTTCTAGATGCAGATATTCCGATAATAATAGTCTATTTATAGCCGAGTTTATAGCACTTGGCTAGCAGAGAGAAAAAAGTACATATTTACATGAGTATTTACATTATTCTAAATATTTCTTTAAATATTTTATGCAACAAATCAAAATCGGCATTAATTAACAAGTTTTTTCAATGTATCCTTTACTTAGTTTTTTGAATTCTGCTAAGGTATCACATGGTATCACAGCACCTAACTTCAGAAAATCGTGAATGATAATATGTATTACATATACATTGTAAAAATATTTTCCCAAACTCATTCACTTGAACACTTGATTTTGTTTAATTTATGTTTACCTAATTCTAAGGGAATAATGACTGGTTTATACTTCCAAAATTAAGAATAATTAAACTAAACTAAGAAATAAATTAAAGTAAACTTTAGAAATGCAGTTTATACTTAAAATTAAGAATTAAGAATTTTCCAAAATTAAATTAGCTAGCTCTTTATGAATTCAAATCGCAGAAAGGAAAATAGAAATAAACAAAAACCAGCTAGAGTGACAACAAACATAGTGACATTTAGCATGCATTTAGCAGATTTTATGGATCATGGCTTCCTAATTCAACGGACTAGAACGATTTCCTTAATTCTCAATTTTTAGTTTAAAGTTAGCCAACTTTTAATTTAATTTAATTTGATTTATTTTTTTAATTTGAGCTATAAACGACAGCATCAAATCATGGAGATTTAACATTTAACCCTCGGGCAGGCGCGCTATCTGCCTTTTATGCCGCCTTTTTACTAGTTCAAGGATTCCGCAAATATTGTTAATTTCATCATATTGTCCGTCTACTAGCTATGTTCAAATGACTATATCAGTCAGCCTACTACACATAATTTACGACCCTAGAATGCTTGTACAGATGCCAGTGAGTTCTTGAACTTGCAGGTGTTGAGTTTTCGGCATTCCGTGCCGCCAGCGCGCCTGGTCATGTAAGTAAAATTACAAGGGGAATAGTACAAATATTATGAATATTATTTTTGTGTTTTTGCGAAATTAATATAAAGGATCTCATTTAGTTGCCTAGAATTACAATTTATTTTATTTTTTAACTGTATTTAAAAATAAATTTTGATGTTTGGAATTATTTCGTATTGCCGCAGCACGCCCACTAATGTAATTTTCAAATCCGCGCCTGCCCTAGGGTTAATTTAAACTTTAGTTTAGTTCGAGGTTTAGTTAAATTCTCAATTTAGTTTAATTCCTAATTCAGAAGTATGAACCAGGTATTATTATTTATTTATTTACTTGGAAACCTTACAAACACTGTAATAGACTACCTACCTATAATTACCTCAGTAACATGCAAAATAAAATTGATAAATAACTCTAGAACACCAAGCAAAACACAGAATTTACAGTCACAAAAAAAAAAAAAATAAATTAAGTAACTATGTTTAAAACCAGATGAGAATTGTTTGAAACAAACCTCAAGTGACTTCGATAAGTTTGTTCAAATCGAAAGAATACCTGGAATATCTTTCTTAAAAGATATGGTTTCAAACAGTTAAAAATCATCTGCATATATTAAGCCAATAGATGAATTATTGACAGTCAGGTCAGGCAAACTTTAATAAATAATATCAAAATCAATAGCCCAAGTTTACTACTCTGTGGGACTCCGGAGGTTGATATATTCATTAGAGCAAGCATTAGAGAAACAATCGCCTATCTTAACACTATTCCTCATTCCCATCAAATATGATTTCAACAAATTACAAGCTTTTCTTGAAAATAACTTTACCAATTTATTCAAGAGAACAAATGATTCACATTATCAAATGCCTCCTCATCATCTGTGTACAGGACATCCAACTACTCCTCTGCCTCAACAGCCTTTGAAATTGGCTAAGAAAGTATACACAGGTTTGTTGCAGTGCTGATTTTATGTTTTACACATTCCAAGATACATTCATTAATCTGCTCATAAAGAATGTTTTCAAAGACTTTAGCTGAACTGTTCAATAAACTAATGCGCTTATAATTTAGAATGTCATTCTTTGCATCTTTTTTTATGAATTGGGGAAATGAGTGATAATTTTAACACATCTGGAAAACACTCCTGCTCAATGGACATGCTTAAAAGATAAGCCAAGGGTTTCTATCTGCACATCCCTTGTATTTATAACATTTCATTTCATCATGGCCATGGCCAGTGGATTTTTTGGCTTTAGTTTTCTTATACCACTGATTACATCTCTCTTAGCAATGTTTCCAAAGTCAAAAGTGCCCCATTTTTATTTTCAGAATGACAATTTGAGCAGTCAGACACAAAATACTCAGCAAAAGCATTTGCAATATCAAGATGTTCATCAAACTTATCATTATTCAATTTCATTTGCACTGCAATACTAGCACTCTTGTATTTTGATTTAAAGGAAGTCCAGAATTTGCTAGGATCAGCAACCACATTATTTTTAATTGAGATTCTAGGTATACAAATTGTACTTAGTTTTCAAGACCAGATACTCGATACCTTCTCAGCTCTCAGTTCAGTTGTACCCCTTAGATACTTATGATAGAATAGAATAGAATAGAACTGTGCTTTATTGTTCGAAGTACTTAAACTTATTGACAAAGCTAATACTTAAATGTACTTTTTTTTTTTTTTTTGGTAAATACTAAACAGTTTTTATATCACACGAAAACGCCTCAATATAGTTATCAACAATTTAAAACACATTAGAACAGAATAAATTACAAATACATAATAAAAACACATGTTAACAAAATTAAAAAAATCAAAAAAAACCAAGAAATCAAAAAAAATCAAAAAAAATGTGCTCCTGTCAAGTTTTCAACATTTTCAATCTACAAAAAACATAATAAAAAACCTAAAAATAAAAACTTAAAAAACAATAGTAGGAATCAGGAACACATTATCACACATCATCACAATTAATTAATTTAGTCTATCTTCAAAGTATTCCAGCAGGCTGTAGTAGGGTCTAATTACCAAGAGTGCTCTCACTGCATTTCGAAAGTGCTTACAATTGTCCAGTATTTTTATTTCCTCAGGCAAATGGTTGAATATTTTTTTGCCATTATAAATGAGGGAGTTTTGAGCTAGAGATGTCTTAGGAATAAGGAGAGGAATATTGTTTATTTGTCTCGTGTTGTATGTATGTCTTTGTTGCTTCAATCCATTGTAATATTTTTTATACATTAGTGATGATGTTTCCAATATATATAGACCAATTACTGTAAGGATTTTGTGTGTTTTAAATAATGGCTTACAGTGCTCCCTAGGTCCCACTCCACATATACATCGTAATGCGCGTTTTTGGAGTTCCAACACACTAGCCATTAGGTCATTTGTGCAGGATCCATAAAATGCAACTCCGTATCTCAAATGGGACTCTATCAAAGAATAGTAGACTGTCATTGTTGAAGAAAGGTTCAGTTCTCTAGCCACAACTCTCAAGGCATATGCACCACTAGCTAATTTCTTCTTTAGATATAGTATGTGTTCTTTGAATTTTAGTTGATTGTCAACATATATGCCCAGAAATTTAGTGGAAGCTCTGTTTTCAATATGATTAGTTTCTAATAGTCCAGGAGGTGGCGCCAAAAACATGCAAGAGTTTTCGCAAGGCGGATATTTTCAAAATAGGTCATACTTTAGTGTTAGAATGCTAGTGTACAGTCAGCACTCACAGTTCCGGGACAGCTGGCTCTGGGACGCGGGCAAAGTTGTAATTTTAAGAAGCATCTAAACTGTTTTCTCAAAGCTCAAAACTTATAGAAATTTTGCACATTATCTGTTTGAAGGTCACAGATAACGTATGTAAATCATCAGACGTCTAGTTCGTTGCAAAAAGTGGGTCAGACGTCCTCAAAGTTTTTATTTTATGGCATTTTCTTCAAATATATTTGTCAAATACCTGCAAAAATATATTTTGACAGGACACCGAAGAAAATGCCATAAAATAAAAACTTTGAGGCCGTCTGACCCCCTTTTTGCAACGAACTAGACGTCTGACGATTTACATACGTTATCTGTGACCTTCAAACAGATAATGTGCAAAATTTCTATAAATTTTGAGCTTTGAGAAAACAGTTTAGATGCTTCTTGAAATTACAACTTTGCCCGCGTCCCAGAGCCAGCTGTCCCGGAACTGTGAGTGCTGACTGTACACTAGCATTCTAACACTAAAGTACGACCTATTTTGAAAATATCCGCCTTGCGAAAACTCTTGCATGTTTTTGACGCCAGCTCCCCGACTATAATGTTAGGGTGTCAAAGTTAAACTTAAATGTCATAATTGTTGTTTTTTTGAAATTCAGACAAAGTTTATTGCTGTCGCACCATTTCTTCAATAAGTCCATATCTTCATTGATGACGTCCTTAAGCTCGTCTATGTTCTTTCCCCTCCACAGCACTGTTTTGTCATCCGCGAACACAGTAAAAGCACCCCTAATAGGGACTCTTGTAATATCATTAAGATAAGCGTTAAACAGTATAGGACCCAGCACTGACCCCTGTTGATAATTGATGAAGCCTATTTTTGGGACCAAATATGAAGAAAACCAGTTAGGACACTTGGCACAAATACTGGTTTTTTTTTTGGTTTTTTGAATAGATTTATCCAGAAATTCGTACTTGTTTCTATAAAATGCATCAATACTTACACTAGCATCTTGACACAAAAATACCTAAGTACGTACTGTACACCAGTCACATTCTGCGAATGAAAAAAGATTGTTACCTTGATAGACTATCAGCTAATGATAGATTTTGCTGACCGATTTTCCCTTTTTAGGGATTTCAAGGACCAATGGACTATCACACCTAGTGACATCGCATACATCATACATCCATGTTTGTAAGAGAAAGGTCCAAAAATCTATTAATAACATTGGAAATATTAGTTAATTGACTTAGGTTATACATATATAATATTAAGATTATTAAGGAACTTCGTGAATTGTTTAGCTAATCAGATAAGTAGTTGAGATCATATGGATTTTACAATTTTTAACCACCTTCACAATGTACACTATCGGACAAAAGTAAAGCAACTCTTTTAAAAATATCCAATATTTAATTTTCAAAAATAAAATATGCATTAGCGATGAATGAAATCCTTTCAGTTTAAAAGGTCATAGTAAGCTACAGTGACAGGCTAAATATGATTATTTTCAAATGTCAAATTAACTTGTGTGCAATAATTTATATAAATAATACACTTTATTAGCGCGACAAAAGTAGAGCAACTTTTAAGAAATCAAAATTTTATTGCATTTAACAACACAAAAACAACAACTATAGCTAAAAGCTCATTGAAATAGACAATAATGAAAATAAATAACTTAATAGTTGATAGGATATCCATTGTTGGCTATGACTTTTTGGCAACGGCGCGGCATTGATGAAATTAAATTTCGGATAGTGACAATCGGCATATTAGTCCAAACCTCGTTGATTTTATCAATTAAAAACTGTTTGTTTGGAAATGTTGTGGTACGAATTTGACGTTCAACTTCTTCCCACAGGTTCTCGATAGGGTTGAGATCCGGTGATTGTGCTGGCCACTGCAGAACTCGGACATTGTTCTCCTGAAACCACCCCTGCACAAGACGAGAGGTGTGCTTGGGGTCATTGTCCTGTTGAAATACGAATCGCAAAGGCATTTCCCACTCAGCATAAGGCAACATTACATTTTGGAGTATGTCCCTGTATACCAATCGATCCATCGTCCCGTCTATGAAGTGCAATGGACCTACTCCAATCCATGAAAAGCAACCCCATAGAAACACACTTCCTCTTCCATGCTTTATGGTTGGTATAACATACTTTGGTTGAAACCTCGTATTAGTTGGACGTCTTACACGCCTCATTCCATCAGAATTGAAAATTTTATAACGAGTTTCGTCGCTAAATAAAATTTTTTCCCAGTCTTGAACTGTCCAATTTAGATGACGTTGTGCAAATTCGAGCCTGGCACGGCGATTTCTTTCAGAAACCAGCGGTTTCTTGGCTGGACGTCTGCTGTAAAGCTTTGCTTCAACTAATCTTCGTTGGACAGTCCTCGCACTTACTTCTAGTTCAGGAATTGCAGCAATTATTCTTGGTCCTGACAACCACGGATCTCTTTGGCAAACTCTTTTGATTCTCCTATCCATCCAAAATGTAGTTTTTCTAAACCTTCCTGATTTTGGCATTTTTTCTACATGTCCACGTTCATTGAAACGTGAAATTATTTTGGATACACTGTATTTTGGCAAAAGAAACTGCCTGGAAATGTCAACCAAACGCCTGCCTTCCAAGAAAGCGTCTACTACCATTTGTTTTAACTCCAGACAAATTGGTTTACCTTTTGGCATATTCAAATCTGTCAAAAAGACGAATAATCTTAATTTTTAACTCTATAAATATGTTTTCCATCTTACCTGAAACTCAAATCCCTTCTTTTTGGAAAAAATTAAAAAGTTGCTTTACTTTTGTCGCGCTAATAATGTGAATTGTTCAAATAAATTATTGCATACATTTTTGTTTGACGTTTGAAAACAATTGAATTTCGCCTATGACAGCAGTCAACTACAACCTTTTAAACTGGGATCATTTTAGCTTCCGTTATCAACAAGTGTATTTTTGATAGATGAATATTTTATTTTATAATAAGAGTTGCTCTACTTTTGTCCGATAGTGTATATGTCAAGGTTAATATGCAAACTTGGCTAGTTTGTTAACTAGCTGGATAGTTTACGAACTAACCAACCCTTTGGACATTTTGATAGAAAACGCAATTTCCACTAAATTAGCAGCTAGTTTGCAAACTAACCAAGAGTCTTGGCTAATTTACTTGAAATTATTGAGAAAACTAAATTAGCTGGTTGTTTATAAACTATCCAATGCAGCCTGGCTAATTTGGAAACCATGATTTCTAATAACACAAAATAGCCAAACCTTTGGCTAGTTTATAAACTAAACTAACCCACCAATTTTCTGGCTATTTACCAATAAAATTAGGTTACGTTTTGAATACGGAATGTCATTATTTTTTGTTTGATGTCCTGGCCACCTGGCGGGGTTTGTTTTTATATTTCACAGGAACACTTTTTGGTAATGAGAGGAGTCACAAAGAAAAATTTAACACCTCTTTATTAGTTCTCTATAATGAGAAAGCAAATAATTGCCAACTTATTTCATTAAGCAATACGATTTAAAACGACTTAATGCACATATTCTTCCAAGTAAAAAATCTGGAAAAATATTAGCTTGTACGAAAGCGTAGAAAGCTTGCATGGACATTTACTTGAGTAACTAAATGTCCATGTAACCTAACTTTATTTGTAAATTAACCAGAAAATTGGTTGGTTAATTTATAAACTAGCCAAAAGTTTGGCTATTTTGTATTACTAGAAATTATGATTTCCAAATTAGCCAGGCTGCATTGGATAGTTTATAAACTAACCAGCTAATTTTGTTTTCTCAATTCTCAATAATTTTGAGTAAATGAGCCAAGACTCTTGGTTAGTTTGCAAGCTAGCTGCCATTTTAGTGAAAATTGCGTTTTCTATCAATATAGCCAGTGGGTTGACTAAACCATCCAGCTAGTTTACAAACTATCCAAGTTTGCATATTAACTGTAAAATATATAAAGAATAAATAGGGTCCAGGGATCGGGACCAATACAGTTAGCTTTCATTCTCTACAAAAAAAAATGTTATGTTCCAAACCAGATGTTTACGCAATAGATTTCTATTTATTCTTTCAAATGCTATTCTGAAGTCTAAGAAAACCACGCCGATAATTTTTCCTTTTTCCAAAGCATCCTTCCTGTTGGAAATTAATGTCTGTAATACACTTTCACATGAGTTGTTTTTCCTAAAACCAGCTTGATATTCAGCTGCACTATTTGTTTATTTATGCACAATTCTAATAGTTGCTCATAGGGTGGTACAATCTTAGCCGGTCTGAATTCTTCACTCTTAGTGGCTCCATTAATTTTCTCAATTGGAACAACTGTACTAGTTTTTTTAGAAATGTTTTTTTTTTATTAGGTTCATAATTTTATCACCTATAGTTTCAAATATCTATATTGCTCTCCTTATTTTTCATAATACATATTGTTACTTAATTATTTTTCTCAGTTCTCAAATTTTCATAATACACAATCCTTCTAATTTGTGATCATTTTCAATGTGTGATATACTTTCGTCAAGCGTTTTGGTAGAATTTATATTGTTCACAATTTCATTTATGATGTTTAGAAAATGTTTGTTGAACCTTTTACATACAGACAGCAGGCTGCTAGATACATAGGCTTTAATGGGACCAATTGACTGATAGCCATTTCACTGGGATTGTCACGATGGATCATTGTTTGTGTCTGCAAGTTATTAAAATTCGTGCATCTTTGGCAGCTCATCTATGCTCGACTTTGGCAGCACCGCCTTGATTCGCCTAAACCGGGTACAAACTAATTCGTCTTATTACTCCCTATGTATCTGGTAGGTTGGTCCAGTCTGTATATCCTTCTCAACAACTTCTCCGTTAAACATTGTTTAATTTTCTAAATTTTCATGATTTATTTAAATTTTTTTGTAAAGCCTTATCCACATTTCGGTTGTTAATTTTCATCTATTTTTCCATCATAATATCTCACTTTTGCTCTCTTTATCAATGTCACTTTTCTGTTGTATTTTTCTTTGCCAAACTAATGTTGAATAATAATGAATCCACTAATACCATATTAATATTTTCAGACTAAAATATCACCAAGAAGAAAACTCAGACAATGAAGACGACATAGGCCCCAATATAACAGATCTGGGGCCTGTGGAATATCCACAAGGCGAACACAGACTACAGCACGCTTATTGTTTGTGGTTTTCCAAAAGACCTTCCCAAACACAAGGTAAGATGGTTCAAAACAATAAATGTTTACTTACACTTGTAGATTATTGAAAATAGTTCTAGGCTCTCAGAATTATAGTCAGGCCTTGCGTTTGGTGGGTCAGGTGGGTACTGTTGAACAATGGTGGGCCCTGTACTCTCATATAATTAGGTTACACGATATACCGGCGCACAGAGACTTACATCTATTTAAGAAAGGTATAAAACCTATGTGGGAGGATCCTGCTAATAAAAAAGGTGGCAAATGGGTTAGTAATTTCACTGATTCAATTGATTATCGATTCACAAATTAAATTTTCAGGTGATAAGATTAAAAAAAGAACAGGCAGCAAGGGCGTGGGAAAATCTGTGTATGGCAATGTTAGGAGAACAATTTATGGTACTACTTCTACTAATCTACATATAAAAAAAAAATAGAATTATTGTGTTTATTCTAGGCTGGTAATGAAATATGCGGGGTTGTGGTGTCGACAAGGTATCAAGAGTATTTGTTGAGTGTCTGGCATCGAACTTCAGCGGATCAAGCCATGATTGCCAGGATCCGGGACGCCTTGAAGCGTTTGTTGAATATACCACCAAGTGCCACTATGGAGTACAAAATACACAATGACTGCCTCAAATATGGGTAATTAGTTTTATTTGATTTTGTTTTTCAACTTATATTTCGAATAATTTTTAGGGCTGCAAAACAAATACAAAATAGTATGGTGAAAAGTTGACTTGACTGTTGCGATGCTACACAACTGACTGCTTTGAGGACTGTAGAAGGGTCTGAAAAGTGCACACCGTGACAATTAAGTTTTAAACAAATCAAAACAAGAAGGTTGTTTTTTTCTTGTTAAAATAACTCTTCAAATATATTTGTTAAAACAAACTTGTATGTGATTAATTCTTTTCCCTTTCCATTTGGAGTCTCTAATGTAATTTTGAGTGATATATAGTAATATACAGGGTGTCCCATGACGTCTTACCCAGGTGATAACTTTTGGAAGCGTCATTCAATATAATTCAAATTTTGAGGATCTGGGTAGTTTTTTGTGCCATTTCTACATGTGCCATCCAATTTCAGTTTTGGTTGAGTAATGGCAACATTTGATGACGCACCTGAAGTTATCACCTGGGTTAAACCTCATCGGACACCCTGTATAGAATGTACCGTACCATGCCCTAAAGGAAATTCGTATTTGCTGACGACTCCTGGCTGTTTTATATTCAAACCTAATTGTGCTAGTGTAACAAATTTAAAACCGTAAATTTTTCATTTGGCTAGATTGCATCAGAATCTGTGGGAAACACTTTTTTCAAATGGAAGGAAGGCTTCACCCATAAAAGCCATAGCCAGATTTGTATTTTCTGAGGTTTTAGTTAAAACAAACCATTTTTCATAGAGAATACCAGGGTGATAAGATTAGTTTCACTTTCTCTCTCCTGTACTATTGGTCTTATATTGGCTTGAAAATTTATCTGCCCAGAGACCAGGGCTGGTATTCTGGTTCTCGAAAACGCTCACCGCTTTTTAGTCGCTCGGCACTTTTCATTTGAATTTACATTAGAAGTGCCAAGTGATTTGAAAGCGGTGTGCGTTTTCGAGAACGAGAATACCGGCCCACAGAGCCATTTTCTCGCATACACTTTTTTCAAAACAAGTTTGAAATGGGCAATAGTAACATCATTGCCCGTTTCAAAACTGTTTTGAACCAATGGCTATGAACATAGTTTATCAATCACTTTCAAAACCTCAGTGTGTGGTTTCGATTATACATTATACATATTATATTTCTTTATTATTAAAAAATAAATTTAACAGAATTAATGAACTTATTATTTAGATTCTTCATCACTTGAGCTAGACGAACTGCTATCAGTATCAGTATCGCTGTTGCTATCATCTGAACTGGAACTAGATGAACTACTCGAACTGTCCCTTTTCTTTTTCAATGTTTTCGCTTTTGTGCCTCGTTTTTTGGCAACAGCCACTGCAATACCTTCTTCTACGGCCTTTATTCTCTTCTTCAACAGTTGACTTCTCGACGAACGGTGAAGGTACTTGCGTTTGCCTTTACATTCGTAAGACCAGTGGCCGTATTCCAGGCATTTCTGGCAACGTACTCCTTGTGGTGGATAATTATTTTGTTTTCTGAAATAAAGATTATAGAATTTTTGAGACATTGTATTCCAGAATAAAGTTCGACTATTCTATATAAATAACGAGGGCTTACTTTTTAGAGGACAGAGCTCCAATAGTCATTGTGATTGTAGTAGGTTAATAAAATGATTATTAGAAATATTTATCTGTGTCCAGTTTATTTATACTGAACCGAGTACTGAACTATATTTTCGGGTTATTGTTTTTTGGTAAGAACACTTGTTGTAATAGTAATATAAGATGTTGTTGAGTAGATGGAAAAGAGAAACTTAGAAATATGTTTTTATTTTTGATTTGACAAACACAAACAAAAAACAAATTGAAATTTATTTTGTCACTTGTCAGCTCACTGTTGACAGAGGGGTGAGTTCCAAAAACCCTTTTCACGTGGCTCGGGTTTAACCGGTTTAACAAACCGCAACATACCGCTCAAATTCGAGTGGTAGGTTATCACGTCACTTATCCATCACGTCACTTTGTAACCGGGTTAGAAAACGGTATGTCATTTCTCTAACCATTTTGTAACCCGGTAAGTTAAACCGGAGCCACGTGAAAAGAACTATTGAATCGGGTTTAACCCAAGGAGTGCGCTCGAAATCACCCTGGGCTTCACACCGAGTGCACACCAGCCAGCCATGAATAATTCATAGGGTGTGCACTCGGTGTGACGCCCAGGATGATTTCGAACGCACCCAAGGGTTTAACCCGTCAATGGCGTCAATTTATGTTGTTAGTGCAGATACATGATACCAGATGGCGCTAGCTGAATCAAGCATTAGTAAAATTTAAAAATATTTCCAAGTGAGGTGGGTATAGAGTAGGACGTAATTTAAAAAAAAAACGCATTCTCAGAAATTCCAGACATATAGGCATCCAAAACAGTTCAAAACCAAATCAGAATTTTCAGGAGATTAAGAAACTTCAGAGTTTTTTTAGAACAATTAGGATTCAATTTAGAACTGAAAACCTTTTAGAACTCTTTTGAACCAATTTAGAACACTTTGGAGCTTCAATACGACTGTCAGCAGAACCAATTAGAAATTACTGAAAACTTTTCTAGAATGCTCCGAACGCTTCAAGCGAAGTTAGAAAACTTGATACGCCCTTTTAGAACATTCGCAAACACTTTCCAATATCAGCATTTTGAAAGGCTTCAGAATATTTTTTTAAAAACCTCAGAAGAGCCTGGAATAGACAAAAATCGAAAGTTATAAAATGAGTAATAATAAGGAAATATTTGCAAGAAGATATGTACGCTTCTCTTTTAATTCAAATTCTTCAATTTTCATAATTTTTCCTATTCCAGGCTTTTGATTTTTTCTTATTTCTTTATTCTGAATTCTTAACTTTCTTTTGGCTCTTGAAGTTTTTTTAATCCCAAGTTCTTGAATTCTCATTATTCCCGTATTTTAGAATTTCAGGCTTTTGATTTGTTTTTCAATTTTTACTCCTGGCTCTTCTAATGTTTTTCTTCCAAAATGAATTTTGTCTATGTTTTTGTTTAAGAATCATGAATTTAAGAGCCTAGCGTTTGGAATAGACAAATATTGAAATTGAAAGTTATAAAATGAGTAATAATAATGGAATGTTACTTCTGAAAACGTCTTTAGGCAGTCGTCTGAAAAACGTTGGGTTTTGTAACATACGAAGTCTTTGAGATGTCCCGACGCCTTTAAGACGTAAGCAGACGTCTTAAAAACGTCTTGAATGTGGTTTGTGGATATCTTAGCAAGATGCCTCTTGTTTGGGATCCAATTCTACAAACTGCGAAGTCCATTATGGATGTAATGATATAATATAAATAAATGATTAATGTCGAAACTTTAAAATTATTATACAGTGAGCACGTAAAGGTTGGAATAAAATCTATAAAATATACAGGGTGGATATTTTTCAAAAAACCCCGGACACGTCAATTTTTGATTTTATTGACCGTTTTTTTGATGATAATACGATATATACAGGGTGACCCAAAAACAAGTTGTGACAGCTAACTTTATTTTTTTTAATAAAAACACCAATTTTTTATTTCATTTTTAAATTCTACGTCGAATTCTAAACGTATTTCATGTATCATGTCCTTTACCTATCTTCAACTGTTTCGGAAATATTGACAGTTGAAAATGGTCAAAATGGACTTTTTTGCAACTTTGACAGGCTGTAAATCCTAAACGGTTATTTTGAGAGCAGAGCCGATCACACATTCTTGCCTTCGTTTTCCATAAACTATATCATTTGACACCAACTTTGAATTTAATCCATGGTTAAAAATTCCGATTAAATTTAATCTCCGGTTAAATTCAAAGTTGGTGTCAAATGATAGTTTATGGAAAACTAAGACAAGAATGTATGATCAGATTTGCTCTAAAATTAACCGTTTAGGTTCTACAGCCTGTCAAAGTTGCCAAAAAGGTAATTTTCAACTGTCAATATTTCCGAAACAGTTGAAGATAGGTATAGGACATGATACATGAAATAGATTCAAAATTTAACGTCGAATTTGGAAATGAAATAAAAAATTGGCGTTTTTATTTGAAAAAATAAAGTTAACTGTCATAACTTGTTTTTGAGTCACCACTTGTTTTTGAGACACATGGTATTAACATCAAAAAAACGGCCACTAAAATCAAAAATTGACGTGTCCGAGGTTTTTTGAAAAATATCCACCCTGTATATTCTATAGATTTTATTCCAACCTTTCATCTGGTATACTCTAAGAAGTAAAGAAGTCGAGTGACCTAATTAATTATACCTACCAATCATCTCTTCTTCCGAATTCTAATACATATTATTATTATTTGAAAACCTAATCCTTATCGATTACTTTCAGCATAAAGAAATACATACCTAAGTACACATGGAAAAATAAAACTAGACAACAAAAATCGATTATTGACTACACTATCACAAAACAGAGCTCGAACATAAAATTCCAGGATATGAGAGCATATAGAGGAGCGACCTGTGGTACTACCTCCTGAAAACAAAAATCTTTATCCCGGGCAAAAACACTGCAAAAGAAAACAGAATGAAAAAAACAAGAAGACAATATTGTGCCTGAGAAATACAACCTAAAATCTCTAGAAGAGCAAAGCGTAAAGGGGTTGTACATGAAGAGATTGGATTAAAAATTACAGATTAGTAATAGTAGTATGAACTTCCAAAACCTTGAAATGCATTACCACCATATTAAAGAAAGTATTCACAGTGCAGCATTTGAAGCCCTAGGCAAATACGAAAAAAATAGAAGAAGGCCCTCACCTTATTGGTGGGATCAAGAAATAGAGAAAGACATAGCAGATAGAAGGAAGAAATACCAACAGTATCTAAGTTCAAATAAGACACGAGACAAAGAAATATATAAACAGGGCCGGCCCTACCATAAGGCGAACGGAGCGAGCGCTCCAGGCGCCAGACCTCGGGGGGGCGCCTACAATTCGTTCCTTATTGGTGATAAAAAAAAGAGAAAAATATATTTTTGCTTTGAATCCCGTGTCTTCGCTTTTCGATATTCTGCTATCTGCTATTCTGCTTGCGAGCAAGCCTGTAGTTAGTATGTGAATCCCACATGAATAACCTGTCGCGACGTTGTTCTATGACGCGCAGAAGTCGCTTGCTTGGCGTCGCCCCTACATGATCAATGATCATAATCACGATATTTCGGGATTAGAACTTTTAAGGCCCGGTTTATTGATTTCCAAGAAGAAAATTTGCTGTTAATTGTCTACAAGATAAATTCACCGATCTATAATTCTATTGGTCCATACGGATAACGCGGACCAATAGGATTGCAGATTGCGTTTTTGTCCGTCAAATTGCATTACCTGACAGTTGATAAAAAAATGAATAAACCGGCCCTGAAAAAATAAATAAAATAATGTAACCCAAAAGTAGTACTCCAGAACTTAGCATTGAATAATTGTCAATATACGTTTCCTAATATCTAGACAGCTCTTGAGCTCTACGTATTTTTGTAGCCATTGTTGTGGCGAAAGGTGAACGGAGCTTAAGTCAGCTTACCAGTCAAACTTAAAATAACTAAAACGTACCTTAAGTCAATAGACCGATCTCCTATTACCTGAACTGCGCGCGTCGCTTGTAGGCTGCAGGTGAGCGTCCAATGAAAAGCAAGTTTGTGACAGGCTCGCGTCATATTCTTATTCAGGGGCCATTTCAGAATTAATTGTCCTTTCTTTTTTCGTAACGTGTAATTCGACAAAGAGCAAACTAATACCTACTTTACATATTACTTGAACTCACCGCAATGTCGTTTAAGGTTATGTTAGATTATACTTGACATATTCCTTGGCAATTTCATCGAGCGATGTTGTCGGATGAAACATTTATCAAAATAAAAGTGCAAACGATGTTCATCCACTTTAAAGCTCTTCTTTTGTCTGGTTTAGGGCGGGTATTATAAAACTGCTTTGACAGTTAACTTGAAGTTAACTTTTTGAATTACATGTAATTCCAGAAGTTAACTTTAAGTTAAATGTCAAAGCAGTTTTATAATACCCGCCCTTATAAGGCGTTGTAAAACACTTGATACTATCCTTGCGTTCGGTATTTTGCTCGAAGAGCAGAGCGGGCTGAGCGGAGCCGTAATCACGTGACCAGCGAGGGAACAGAGTAGTTGAACGCTATATAAAAGTGCCAGAAATTTTAATAAACGAACGCGAATGAGGCTGCACCGAGTACACTTTTTGAATAAACGAACGGTAAAGTCATGCTCGGAGAACTCAGACCAAAATAACGAACGCACGGTATATCACTTCTTTAATATTATAATGTTCGATTTGTATTGTCTACATCTGTTCTGCAACAATCCAATCTGACTACACTGCAGCCTACGAGTTGCGCGCGCATGTCATCTTTTATTGCTTTCTAGCTTGTATTTATTATAATTTAGCTCTCTTTTTCTAATCCTGCGAGATAGGTCTATTCTAGCAGAAAACATACTATAACGTACTTATTTTGGCAATTGCCTAATTATACTGCATACGGCTAGTCAGCATCAGTCCGGAGGCCATGGGTCTATGGGTTCCTTGTATACATCTTACCTTTGGGCGCCACCAAGTTAATTGTGACTTAACTAGGAAGATAACCTAATGATGTTTTAACAAAACCTGTGCAATTGGAGAGCTTATCAATAAAACAACTAATTAGGTACAATAATGTATCTGGCTTCTTTATTAAAAAATAATAACAATAATGAATAGGGATGGCCAGGACATCATTATGGCTTGTACCAATTTATAAATATTTGATTATAAAAAAATTAATGTAATAACG